TTGACACTACGAAATCCCTCACCATGGACTAGCGTCATTAGGAGGCCATTCTCCGAGGCTCACGACAACATATGATATGATAGTCACATCATATAGAAGATAGATTTGTGGTGGTGGCGCAGTGATTTAGTCGCTGTCACCGGCGTGCTTTGAACCCTATGGTCCGAGGTTCAAGCCCTGCCACCGCCACCCGACTTTGGTGGTAGGCAGCTTTGCTATCGTCCGGTTCAATACCACGCCTAACCTATCGGGGCCTTATGTGGTTCGCCACTCCAAGTTCCGGGGCTTAGCTTGCCGATTTCAACCACTGAACAGCAGGTCCTCGTGACTGTGGGGTTTACCCCGTCTGCTGTTCCTCANTTAAAAAATCTGGAGGTTCAGTGTTTACGTGACGACTAGCTGTGAAGGACCAAAAGGATCTGACGATTGTATATAATGCCTTTGGTATTTTAATCACTTTCGTAACACCTCATTTATCACTGTCTTCCTGTTTGTTCCAGATCAAATGACAATTCCATGCTACCCTCGTCGTGTGCGCTTCTCAGCCTCATCCTAATTGTCGCAGTTCAATGGCCGTGTTTGACTCCGCTGTCCGGGCTTGCGATCGCAGCAAAAACCGGTTCCACCGCAGTCTTACTGCTCGGTGTTCCGTTGCTCACTAGCACACTAGCCAGTTCCGCGCAATCGGATCAGGTCCGTTTTGTCCGGAACAAATGGTGCCCATGGAGTACCTGGAGTCGATGTTCTCCGGAACCGTGTATTGCCGGTATTCAGTCGCCCACGCACGGACTGCTCTACATCCGGACGGACGATCTGGATGACTCGAATCCGAAAAACAAGCGTAGCGTAGATGTGATTCCCGATGCACGTATTCTGACCGGTGAAGACTCGGCCAACTATTGTGTGGTGAAACCCGGTCCCCTGACTAATCGAAATGTCTATCCGCTCCTGGTTCAGACCACCATTGATGGGGTGATCAAACGTCGCGAGCCGGCCAAACAACGTGTTCGCCGATGCAATTGCCGTTCCATTTCGTTGTGGCAAATTTTTGGAATCCAAAAAGCTGATGATTGTTTGGGTGAGTTTGGTGTTTTCAACGCATATCGTACGCGTGCACGCAACTGGACCAAAAGGTCCAGAACCTCGTGATCTATATCTGTTCATTGGTCAGAAATAGTGCAACCTGTTTGATGATGCTCGATGATGCTCACGCACACACACATCTGGTTCACCGATCAAATGTGTATCAGAAAGACCATGAATGAGTACAACTCGTGCACTGTACCGCATTGCCATTGGTTATGAATGATGATGTTAAT